AGCTCAGTTTGCCCCTGTTTGGGTCATACACCGGCATTGAGACCTCCGTTATTCCTCTTTCAATCATGAAGTCTCGTAGTCTTGTTAGTGCCAACATCACGTGTTCGGGATCAATTGTGTTCCTGTCATTGACCCTCGTCACTAGGAAGCACAGATATTTGCCCGGGACTTGTGCTACTGATGGTGGAAGCGCTGCCATCCCTCCCAGTCCTGGTCTCTGTCTGAACAGAAACTTCACGTTCTGGTACTCTCTTCTGAAGTCAGCCTCCAATCTTGATTTGAAACTCATGTCCGCCGTGATGCAGATCGCGCTAGTCCTGTTTGACAGGATGAAGTCGCTATCCGTTATCATGATGTTTTCCGAGTACTCATTGGGTATTTCAAATTTCTTTTTGAAATTCCGACCTATGGTAGGCTCTGGCTCTTCTTCTTCCAGTTCCAATTTGCTTGTTTCTCTCACTTCCTTGAGCTTCTTTATCATCAAATTTTCGGTGTGGGTAAGTCCTACCCCCACTCCCCGGACAAAAATATTTATCGACGTCCCCGTCGATGTTGTCGGTTCTGAATTGTCCGGAGGAATTTCCAGTGGCCTAACTGTTGCCGTCCATCCGAAAAGAGGGTCCTCTGCCTTCATATACTTTGCCGATGATACGTCGACTTGTTGAATGCTTTGTCCTTCGCGGCTCTCGTCTTTGACATCGCGCATCCACTCTAGTATCCTCAAGTTCGTGTTCTCCCTCCTCTCTATCTCACTCTGTTCGAGATCCGTCTCCAATTCTGGCGTCGAGTAGTCTTCCTGCGGATAGTGTCCACCATCGTCAATGACCTGCCATTCCTCTTCGGCTTCCAGTTCGCCTGCACTCAGTAGTTCCTCGCCCAATTTGTCTGGCTGTATCTTATCGATCAAGAAGTCATCCCCCTACCTGTTGTACCTCATGCCGGTCCGTTTACGATTGCCAGTCCTGGTCCCCGGTGGTATTGGTCGATCTGGCTCCATCCACTTTGGCACCTCATCTTGCTCCGGGTCGTTCCAGTCTTCTTCTACAAATGATCCTGCTTCAGACTCCACTTCTATCTTTTCATTGTCGTCTAAACTCAAGTTCTCATTACCATCATTCTTCTCTCTGGTGCCTTTTTCATTCACTTCACACGCTGGCTCTACCACCAGGTACTCAAGACCCTCCATGTCCTTCGGTATGCACCAATCCTCCGGGGACGGGACGTGAGGCTTCAGATTTTCATAATGTGCCGCTCGCCCAGTACTCAAGCGATAGAACCGTCCTTGTTGATGAACTTCCGTTATCATGAATGGTCCCCTCCACTTCTTGAGTAGTTTCTTTGTTCCCTTGGGCGGTATGACATTTTGGAAGACCCACACGTATTGGCCCACTTCATATGGCTTCGCTTGTAATATTTTTTCGTCATATTTTCTGCGTTGCCTCATTTGCGCTTGCGCCGTGTTCCTCCTGCATAGCTCGTTCAACTCCTGTTGTCTTTTGATCGCTTCTTTCACGTATGCCTGAGGCGACGTCCTTTTCCCTTCGTATTCCGGGTAAAAGAATGTCAGAGGCATTGCTCTCTCCCTGCCCGTCAACATCATGAAGGGACTGATGCCCGTCGTTGAGTGTTGTGTACTTTTGTAGGCCCCTACTACCTGTGGCAGGTATTTATCCCAGTCCGTCATGTATCTTGAGCAGTACACCCTCAACATGTTGACCAGTGTCCTGTTTTGTCTCTCTACCAACCCGTTGGTCTGTGGATGGTAGGTTGTCGAATGTGCTTGAGCAATGTGCGATCTCTTCATCAATTCTTTTGTCAAGTCCCCCACAAAAGCTTTACCGTTATCTGACTGGAAAGTCATTGGAAAACCATACCGCGATATCCAATGCGTTATCAGATGATCACATGTCTCTTCGGCCGAGGCTGTCTGGCACGGAACCGCTTCCGCCAACTTTGTGAAGTGATCTATTATAACCAGTATCTGGTTATATCCCGACTCTGTCATGCAGATTTTTTGATGGTCTATCTGCACCACTTCATTGAGCTCTAGACAGACTTGAGGGGAAACTTCATCTTCCTTGGGTCTTTTACCTGGAGACATGCTAGGCAGGCATTCACCCACCTCTCGCAAGCTTTTCTCATTCCTGGCCAATCAAACCTGTGAAGTATCCTTTGTTGTACTTTATCTATCCCCTGGTGTCCCATCTGGTCGTGCGATCTGAAAAGCACCTCCGTTTGATACAATTGCGGTAGTATGATGAGGTTGTGTTTGTGTAATATCTTCTCCTCATCTTTCCTTTTGCATGCTACCACCCCATCAGCTGTGTGGTAGAGTAAGTCTTTCTTTTCTTTGTAGAACTGGCTCAAGATCTTGTAGCTGTCCTCCTCGAGTTCCCCCTTTTCCTTGACCCCCGACTGGATCAATTTGGAGAGATTACTTGTCATTTTGTCATTCTGTTGGGCTCTTATTAGGTCTGACAGCCTGTATCTCGCCTTGACATGCTCCTTTAGCGCCATGATCTGTCCATTCATCTCACCAGGGTTGTGGATGTCGTCGCTCAGCTTCACGCATATCATCCTTTTCACGATTTTCATATCATCTTCTGGTACCAGATTCGTTCTGATGTTTGAGTTGCATGATAATTCCCTGAATGGTTTCCTTGCAACCGCAATTTTCTCAAGTTCCTCACCACCTCGCATCTCCTGTATGTCCATGTTGTATGTTCCTGAAGATGGATCCGTCTGTAACTCCCTGTCGTGGTGCCTGGTCTTCTCTTCCGCCAATATCATGCACAGATTGTCTTGGTTTTCGCTGCTCTCATCCGAGTCTTCATCCCATCCTTCACGCTCTCCGGACAATTTTCCTTCTCCGGTTCCTTCTTCCGTGAACCTGGAACACTCCCCGGACTCTTGACCTAGTCCCAGGTGTTCAGTATCTTCTTTGAACGTCACTTTCTTTTTCCTAACCTTGGTCTGCTCCAGAACATTTTCGGGGATTTTGTCAACTAGTGACCGCACGACATCTTTGCTGTCAGTGACGCTTCCTCTTGATGAGTCAGTATCGTTCACTGTCTCTTTTCTCCGAAGTATAGTGACTTCCGGTTCCTCTTGACCCTTCTCTTGGACCACGGGCTTATCATCTGATAGTTTCTCGAGCAACCTCATTAAGTCATCATCTATCTGTGCAGTTCCTGCTTCTACCTGGTTAAGATCATAGCCTTTTGCCTTGAGCGTCTCCTTCACGATCTTCGACTTGAGTATTATCTCAATCGGAATCCTCTTGCTCCTCTTCAAGATGGTCTTCTCTGGAGGCTCTTTAGGCAATTCAGGATGATTTTCTATCGGTTTGCCTGACTTGTCCAGCCATCTCGTGAGTGGAAGACTGTCGTACGTTTCCTTGTCCATGAAGGAGAAGCCATCTTTGATTTCAGGTCTGTCTGCCTCTCTTTGCTCTTGTCTCTCATAGAACTCCGTCTTCTTACTCAAGCTGTCGGCATTCTGATGTTTATCTCGTGTTCTATGCTCAATTATCATGTTGTATCCGTCCAGGCGAACTATCCATTTCCCAATGTAACTTTGGTCCATTGAGTACGTTTTCAGCCAGCTCAGTGCTCGGTTGTCGACTCGCAACTTGAATGGCTCACTGCCCAGGTATGCCCTGTATTTCTCGACAAAGGTAACCACCGCGAACATCTCTGCTTTCGGTGCTCCGTACTTCATTTCCGTGTCGCTCAGGACTTTGCTCCCGTACGCTATTGGTCTCAAAACTGTCTCCCCATTCCATTCTTGTTCTTGGTGGAGAATCCCAGAAATCGCGACTACCGACGCATCCGTGTCCAGCACGTACATCCCTTTCTCAGTCGGCATACCCAGTACTGGTGCCTCACATAGCTCTTTCTTTATTCTCTGGAATGACTCTTCTGCTGCGTTGTTCCACGTGAACTTCTTGCCCTTGTGTCTCATTAATTGTTGCATCGGGTATACCTTGTCCGCATAGCCTTTGATGAATTCTCTATAATAGTTAGCGAAACCCAGGAAGCTCATCAACTGGTGCTCTGTCTTGGGTGATTTCCAGGTCAGGACTGCTTCCACGGCGTCCGTATCAGGTCTGATGCCGTGCTTGTCTACCATCCTGCCCAAGTATTTTATTGAGTCCTTGAGTATCTCGCACTTTGATGGTTTACACTTTAGCCCCGACCTCTTCATGCATGCAAACACTTCGTCAAGTCTCTCAATGTGGTCTTCCAGTGTTGGCGTGGCTAATACCACGTCGTCCACGTAGCACATTACCAGGTTGCCATACTTCTTCGTCACGCCTATCAGCGCGTGTGCCATCAACCGCTGAAACGTGGCTGTGGCATTGCAGAGTCCAAACGGCATCCGTTTCCATTGAAACAGACCCAACTCGCAAGCAAACCCTGTCTTGTCCCTGTCCTGCTTCCTCAGTGGTACTTGCCAAAAGGCCGAGCCTAAATCAAGAGTCGTAAGAAATTTTGCATCACCTAACTTCGAGAGGCTCTCATCAATCCTAGGTATGGGATAGGCACCCTTCACCGTGACGGAGTTCAGGTATCGAAAGTCACAACAAAACCTCAACTGGTCGCCTTTCTTTTTGGCCATCACTACTCCACACGCCCACGGTGACTTGGATGGTTCTATCATGTCATACTCTAGTAACGTCTCGATCTCTTTTTTACACGCGTCCGATTTGTGTGGGGTCATGCGCCTCGCCCCCTCCCTGTGTGGTACCGCGTTTTCCTCAAGTTCTGTTTCATGCTCAACGAAATAACAACACCCGATATCCGCCTTATGCCTCGAAAAAACTTCCTCGTTCCGCTCTAGTACGTCCTTGATGGCTTCGAGCTGTTCATCTTTCAGTTTGCCCCTCAAATGTTCAATCTCCGGCAGAACCGGTTTATCAGTTTGCATTTCATCTAGTGTGGGTCGCTCTGGAAAGTTCGAACAGCTCGACAGCCCATCGTCCGTTTCTGACTTAAGTGATTTAATAAGACCTGAAGAATCTTTTATTTTCTGCAACCGTCTCAAGATACAAATTTTGTCCCTGTGATTGGGACAATCAACAACTTCATTCTGTTTTGAGTTCTCAATCGTTTCATATCTAGTTTTAACCGGTAAAGAATATCCCAGTTTCCTCCCTCTCTGTATCGTGATCGGTATATCAAGGGTATTCAACAAGACACTGACGCAGAGGCTGCTCTTCGTTATCGAGAATGATCTTCCTAAAACAGCAGCACTTTGACTATTAGGATTCGGAACTATACACACTTGCTTGTTGTCACTTAGTTCATTGTAATTTTTCCTCCTCAAGCTTACGATTGCCGCTTCATTAGCTTTTAGCCTCACCCTCCTACTCAAGAATACCGTTGCTTTGTTTTCATTTGCCATTATTAAATTTACCGGTTTGATTGCGTACCTCCTATCCGGGTTCCGTATCCTGAACATTGCGTTATTTAGATCAATCGTTACGTCGAAATTCCTGATGAAGTCTCTGCCCAAAATGAATTGGTCAGATTCATCTAGGTTTTCTACCACGATAAAGCTCATCCACAGGTTACGTTCCCCCAAATTGAGGGCTATTATCGGCGTCCTGCCCAGCACCCGAAGGGCCCCCTTGTTTGCAGCTGACAGCCGTATTCTCGAGTCTATCAAGTCACCTTTGTCAAAGCCCATCCTTTCCCAAGTTTCGATTGGTATGACGCTCAAGACTGCTCCCGTATCAAGTAACCCACGCAACTGAGTCTTTTTGCCACTTATATCTAGCACGTGCCCTGTCACATCTGCCTCTGTCCCGATGTGCATTGCATCTTCTTCAAGCATGGCGCAGTGTCCAATCGATCTCACTTTCAACTCTTCTTTCCCTACGTAGATCTGCCCAATTAGGTCTTCGTCACATGTTATCATTGTCTTGGTATAGATGTTGATCCCATCTATATTTAGCATCACCTCGTGTGGACCATAAGCTTCAGTATACCTGTTATCAACACGTACCGACTTGCTGCCCCCTCTCGTGAGTAGTGCTCTCAACGCTCTAGAAGTCGTTTGTGGGCTTATACAGTTCAAGTAATCTGCGTACACGTCAATGTGCATTATTGTCTGGTCGCTCGGTTCGCTCAAGTTTCTGGTTACCTCGTGGCCGCCCACTGTGATTATCGACATTATTCTAGCCCCAATTTTCGATATGCCGAATGGCTTTCCCGTCACCATTTTTACAGTGTTACAATTCCCCGTCTTTGTTGAGCCCGGTACAGCCTCTGGTGTTTGGTTCGATCCGGTTAATGCTTCGTTAAAATTTTGTCTTTCGATCTCCAGCTTTAGTCGTTGCTCTATTTCTTTCGCAGCCAGATCCTGTTTCACTTTGGCAATTGCTTCCGTCGCCGCTTTCTCATAATTTATCTCTAGAGAGTTCCCGGCCGCGGATTCTATCGCACCATTAACATGTGTTACAGCTTTCACTGTCTTCGTCGGCAATTCCGTGCTTGGTGCTCCTAAGTTCTTCGATTCAAACTCGTTTTGTCTATTCCGCTGATTCTGCACTGCCGCTAATGCCAACTTGTGTTTGGGGTGACTCTGGTCCTTGGCCGCTTCCCAGAACAAGGTACAATCCATTCTGAAGTGCCACTCCTGGTTACAGAAGAAGCATCTTGCGCCTATCTTGATGATTAAGCCTTTATAGTACTCGTGTTCCTCCATCTGGCTCATGTCCTCCTCATCCGGTGCATATCCTAGACTCTTCATGCCTTGTTTGTATGTTGTGCAGTCAGCCACGTGGTGATCCGCCGACCCGCAGTTCGCGCATGATCTGCGCTTGTCCATGTCATCTCTCGGCTTGTACCATGACGACCTCTGGGGTTGACTTCCCCCTTGCGTGTTCCTGTTTTCTGAATATGAGTATTTCTTGGGTTTCATCAGCATGTATTCCCTCGATTTCTGTCTCATTTCCTCTGGGGTCGGTGCGTTGTCTTTCGACAATGTGTAGTATGTTGCTAACATTGTTCTTAAGTCATCACTTTTTACCCCATCAATGAACTTCGAGGCAATGCTAAAGTTTCTTCTGTTTGTCGACTCCTCCGGGTCACTCCTTCTTCTCAAGCTCTCGAGGTCATCTAGGAACCGATCAATTGACTCGTCGTCCCTCTGCCTTCTCTTTTCAAATCGCATCATCGCTTGGTGACCCTTCATGCCTGATCCGAATCGATTCAGCAATATTTCGAAGATTTTGTCCGCGGTGTCGCGTTCTTCTTCTTTCTTTGCAACCACGCATTTCAATGCCGTGCCTTCCAGGTTGCTGAGTATGGCTGTGCATGCTTGCCTTTCATCATTTAAGTTATCCTGCTCTAGATGTAATCTCATCACTTCCACCCACGTGTCAATGCATCCATCTGAATCGTCTTTGAATTCTTTTGGCTTCTTGAAAGTTTTTCTTGATTTTCCGTCTCTCCTATTGCTCGAGTTAGTGTTACTCGTGGCGAAGGCCTCTATAGTCCTGTTCATCATCTCCCAAGTGTTTGCCCACGTCATGGCATCCGGACCTGCGTTGCTGCTAGCTGTCGAGTCCCCCGGACCACTCGTTGTGTTTGATGTCCCATTTTTCATGATTGTTTTAGCAACCGTTGGTGCTATGCTTACCGCATCCCTATTTGAAGGCAACGGTGTCGATTGCCGTTCGTTCCTTTGTGGTTCCACAAAGTCAACCCTGGTGCCTTGCGTGCGATCCACTGCCGGTCTTTCTTGTGAGGTAGAATTTCTCAAGATTGCATCCAACTTCGCCTGTATTGCACTCGAACTTTCGGCCTGATTCCTGTTCATTATGTCCATTCTCTTTTCCAGGCAACCTAATTGGCTGCTGACGTCATCATATCGGTTTTTCAACTGTTGCATATCTTTTTTGATGTTCTTATCTCGTTCTTCATTGGTGGCATCTACCTTGTCCGACATCTGCTGGAGTCTCTCGTCTGTCGCCTTAGCCAGGTTAAAATGACTATCCAGATATTCGTGTTTATTGTATTTTAACTCCTTCTATATCAGGTTTCTATCTTCCTCACTATACTTTAGTTTTTTGTCGATCTGATTTAGCTTTGTCATCAGGTCGCCCAGCTCAAGAGCAGCTGTTTCATGAACAGCCGTTGTCTTGTTTTCGGCTGCCTCTTCTGTTCTGGCCTGTTCTTCCTTTGGGTCGGCTTCTGTCGCCTTCGTGCTCACTGTCCCAAATGTTCGTGCTCTTCCAGTCTGTGATTCTTCGGCCGTTCGATTTCATTCCGACCATCATCGCCAACTTTTCTGTAAAAGATGTCTTCTTTACTTGAGAGTCATCTTTCACCGTTTCTCGGGTATTGCCTGTTGTGTCTTCCAACGCGTCTATCGGCGAAAACTCCACGGTTTTTGGATTTTGATCTTCCATATGGGGCATCGGTGTGGATTCCGTTGTCTTTTTCTCCACTTCATCTACGCTCTGGTCTGGTGTCTCTAGGTCGATTTCGATTGTGGGCTCCACCTGTTTTTCCCTCGCATCTTCTCGCATCTTGCTCTCGGTGCCACTCTTCGTGTTGACCATGCTAACTGAAAAGTTATCTTTTGTTTTGCCTGGGCCCCTTGATGTCGTTCCGCGCAGCGACGAGTTATATTTCGTGTTTGATCCACTTGACCTTTTTTCTAGCACCGGTACCCTACTCCGTCTCATTATTTCTATTTACAATTGATCGTATTTACAATATTATTATATACACAATTCTATTCTACGAATAAAATCTTTTGTGAAAAAGAATTTTAAAAAGAAATGTACAACGTGATAAAAACCTTTCTTGAAACTTTCTTTATTTGTGGTCCCAACCGTACCGGGTTCCGACTAGTGTTGTTCTGTTTTAAATCTGTCTCAAACACTTATTGTAATTTTACTTCAATTTTTATACCGTCCTAAGACTTCCAGTTACCGTCCCTACTCTTCTTTGTACCGTCCCAGGCTTCTTTCTACTGTCCCACGACTGTTCGGTACTGTCCCAGTACTTCGTCAGTGTCCCAAGACCCTTGTCCTGAGAGTACTATCCCAAGGCTACTGTCCCAAGGCTAGTGTCCCAAGACTACTGTCCCAAGGCTAGTGTCCCAAGACTACTGTCCCAAGGCCAGTGTATAAGGCTAGTGTCCCAAGACCACTGTCCCAAGGCTAGTGTCCCAAGGCAAGTGTCCCAAGGCTAGTGTCCCAAGGTTAGTGTCCCAAGACTACTGTCCCAAGGCTAGTGTCCCAAGACTACTGTCCCAAGACTACTATCCCAAGGCTAGTGTCCCAAGACTACTGTCCCAAGACCACTGTCCTAAGACCCTTGTCCCAAGACCCTGTCCCAAGACCCTTGTCCCAAGACCACTGTCCCAAGACCACTGTCCCAAGACCCTTGTCCCAAGACCCTGTCCCAAGACCCTTGTCCCAAGACCCTATCCAAAGGCCACTGTCCCAAGACCCTGTCCCAAGACCCTTGTCCCAAGACCACTGTCCCAAGACCACTGTCCCAAGACCACTGTCCCAAGACCACTGTCCCAAGACTGTATCAAGACTGTTTTGGTCCAACACTGTCCCAGGACTGCACCGTCCCAAGACTGTCCCCAGACTGCTCTGTCCCAAGACTTCTTTGGCACTGTCCCAAGACTGTTGACAAGTGTCTGAGCGGTGGGACCTCTTTCTTCTTCGTTATGGGGACTTCTTGATTCACTGCACCTTGTGCCACCACTCAAGCTCTAGTAAAATTTTCCCAAAAACCCTCTCTTAAAAGCCAAATGCTGACCCCTCTTTTTCTTATTTCTTTTTAATTACCTCTCTTTCAATGTTCCAAGCAACTTGAGACCAAAACCTGTGCGCAGGTATCTTGTGATCACCTGTTCGTATAAAAACTAAACACAAATCCTCACCAAAATGCAACAAAAATCCAAGCTAGAAAAAATAATAAAAACGGAAAGATGAGCCCACCTAAAATTCAAAGGTGACCAATGTCTACCTTTTGTCA